TTTTGTTTTTGTTTATTTATTTATTTTTTTAGTTTCTCACAATAAAATGAGTTCAATCAGGGGCTGGGAGGTGCATTTTAAAAGATCTTTGCTGGCCTTTCTATACCCACATGGGTCTTATCGATTTCCAGTGACTGGAAAAGGATCAGCAAATAGTAAATTTTTCTTTCTATCTAAACCATATCCCTTGTTCTTATTGTTACTACCAAATCTTTCTTTTTAATAATGCTAGGCCTCAAAGAAAAGTGCCTTGGGGGAAAAAGTGGGGGTGGGGGAGATGATGACATGACCTGCTATCCAAAAGGAATACAAAAGCACAGATGGCTTTCTAAAATGTCCCTGATTTCAGAACATAACTGTGCACACACCCTTAAAAGAAGTGGTGGGAAGGAGAAAACCCGGCCAGCTTCCTGCATCTCGCCGATCCAACTGGACAGGGATGATGACCAAAATCAAAGGCGTGTGGTGATTGGACAGAGGGCCTGGAGGAGCTGGCATCTCCCAGGCTGCTGGAAAGGAGCCAACTCAGCCACACCAAGCAAAAGCAAGCTGAGAGCACACAGGGGCAGGTAATTGAATGCACATGGGGCGCTCATCCCCAAACGCAAAGCTCCTGTGTTCCCAAAGGAGGAGACTTCAGGTCCTCAACCTCCCTCCCTTCCTTCACTGGCCTCCAAGAGGAGTGCAGGACATGTTGGTGGAACTGAAGTGCTTTTGAAGGCAGAAGACCGGGCTGTAAGTCACTTTGTCTTATTTCTAAGAAAAATGATTTTTTTTTTTTTAATTGGAAGGGAATTCTCTCCACAACACAAAGTTCCTAGCTCTGTTATTTCTGATGCCTTGGGCAACCTCAGTTCCCAGGAGATGTGACTTTCCAGTATGTCCTTTATGTCCTTTCCGTGGTGGTGCCTTGGCATCCTCTGATGAACAGTTCCAAGTAGACCCCTCCCCTGGCCTTAGGGAGAGGACTTTCACAGGCACCCAAAATCATTTTACTATGAGCCTTATCTTCCTCCTCTTCTTTTTATTTTTGGTATGATATGATATGGTCCTGTTTCCCATCCCCCCACACACACACTCCCCAAACCCTATACCCCATTAAGAGTGCAGAACAAAGATTACAAATTCTTTTCTGCTGGTTCACAGAACTTTAGAGGGATGCATCAGAATGGGAACTTTGGAGAGGGAAAACCTTGGAAATGAATGTGAATTAGGATATAAAAAGAAAAAAAAACGGAGGCAATGTTGTTTCAACTTAGTGCTTTAAAAAAAAAGTATGAATTACATTCTCATAGAGGAGGAAAGGCAGAGTAAAATACAACAGGGTTTAAGGGATTTCCTCTCACCAAATTGTCTCCGGTCCCTTAATGGTGTTTAAGCCTCACTGAGTACTTTGTGTACGATCCCTAGCGTGGTGATTTGCATCCCCCTCTCCCGGTTGCTCCAGGCTGGGGCTGGCAGCTGTCTCAGTCTGATTCTGGCTGAGAAAGGTAAGGATCTCTTCTTTGCTCTTTGAAAGAAATGTTGAATGCCTGCGGGGGAGGCAGGGGTGGGGGGGGGTGAGGAGTGTTGATATAATTCATGCATTTGGAGGCTTTCAGAAAAGTTCTCCAAACTAAACTTCTAAAGCCATGTGCATTATAAAGAGCCAAGGGTCCCTCTCCCTTCTGAGTGAGGGCTTGCAGGAAGGAGCCTGCTTGCACTGTGAAAGAGATTTTGGATTTGGGGGCAGGTGTCCCCAAAGGGTTCGTCGCCAGCCTGTTTCTTGCCTTCCAGTCAAGAGTGGAGAGGGATAAGCAGTCAGGAGGACGGGG